ACACTTTTATGAATCCTTGGCTAATGGGTGTTGCTAATTAGATTAATCACTTGAATTAACAAAATGCACATTAGAGACTAATAAACATAACGCCTTTTGTAATATTGTCATAACAAAATCTTTATAGATTTAAATAAAATAAAAATAAATGTGTGTATATATATATGCATGTGTAAATATTATTAATATCATAAATATGTATGTATGTATTTATTTGGAGTAAAGTAATTGATATCAATATGTTGTCGTATGTATACATGTAAATTTGATAAAGAGCAGTGATATTTAGATATTTTTTATGTATGTAAAGTATTATAATCTATTGATTAAGAGTTTTAAAGCTTATTTAAATGAATAAATAATTAAAGATAAATATTTTAAACATTAACGTGAATATACATAGATATTCCATTAGTTTCCTGTAACTTTAAAGTCTTTATTTATAACATTCTATTAATTTAACAAAACAAACTTTTAAATAATTATTTTCCAAAAATGTTTAAAAAGTATAACAGAAAATGTCAACAGAGATGACATTTTAATGAAATTTTAAAAAAGATGGTGGATACATAACAGTTACACATTCCGTTTAGAATGGTTTTTATTATGTAATAATAAAGCTGTTATATCTTGCATATTATAACAAACAGGAGAAAACCTTCTGATGAAAATTTTTATAAAAAAGGAAAGATTCTATATCTATTATAGTTTCTTTATAACTTCTTTTGTTTTTTCATACATTTTCTATTATCAAAATGTTTAAAATCTTTATTCTTAACTATTCATTTCAGATGATGTAATAAAATAATTATGTATAATTTTTGTCATACTATTAAAAAATAAATTTTTATTAGACTTTTTTTAATTTGGTTTAATTTAGACTTAAAAGTAGATTTTAGAAAAAAACCCTATAAATATATAAACGAGAGAGTAAGTGATAAAGGGAGATAGAAAACGGGTATTAAATCTATATAACATACATATAGAAAGAGAATTATAGAGAGAGAGAGGGGGGATTGGGAAGGAAAGTTACTTTTTTTCTTGTCATTTTTGATAAAATAAGTCAAGTGTATAAATTCAATTCTACACTATAAAATAGAAATAAAATTTAAGTCGGCAAGACTTATTCCTAAAAGATCTTTCTACAAAACTACATATACGACGAATTAAATATTTTTAATGTTTTACAACTTTTTTGTTACTTTTTGTACAAATCTAAAGCTTCTAAAAATTTTGGTTGCATTTTGCATATTTTTTTCTTTTGTTTTTTGTTATTTTCTTTTAATATAAATAAGAAACCCCAATTTTACTTTTTTTTTTTTATTGTAATACTCAGCACACTTCATAGTCTTCTTAGTGGTTGTTTCAATAGGGATTGAATTTTGTTTCGAGCTTTTTCGGGTTCGGCGCTGCCATCCGAATTATGATTTCGAAAACGTGATGAAGCAAAAGTTTTGGTGCGAATGACACCAGTGGTTTGGACTGGTGGACCACCCAATGTGGCCAGACCTCCTAATAAATCGGACAGACTACCGAGGGCGGTAAGACTTGTAAGGGCATTAAGTGCTCCTGGTTTGGGCCAGTAATTGGGCCAGTGGTATGGCTGAAGCTAATGAGCTGGCAGCTGCCTGCTAAAGGATTTGTTAGTGGTGTTGGTGGTGGTGTTGATGTTGATGTTGTAGATGATGTATTGTTTGAGTTCAAAACACTTGTTGTTGTGTTTATTGGGGATGATGATGATGTTGTTGTGTTAGTGTTATTGCTATTCGAAATATTGTTACTTAATGTGGATGTTGTTGTGTTTTATATTATTTGTGTTTGTTGGATTAGTGTTGCTGTTGCTACTATTGATTTGCCCTCCGTTTGTTGCGGCAGTGGTACCATTAACTGTTGTTGCACTATTTGCCTCTTGGAGATTTGCCTTCTGCAATTCGACGCTGTAAAAAGGGATAAATAGAGAGAGAGAAAGAGAAAAGGAAAATAGGATATTGTTGTTTTTTTCTTGTTTTTTTTTATGGTGATGATAAGGTTTAATTTGTAGTGATGGTTAATTTTCAATTTTTTTTTATTATATATCACTGACAATGATTTTGTGGAATTGAGTTGAGGTTTTCATTTCATACATTTTGAATTATATCAAATGTTTTATTTTTTTTATATTAATTTTAAGTTTCTCTCAAAAGGTTAAGGAGGGATTTTTGGTGGATATTTAGGGATTTTATACAGATATTATTATTTGAAATTATTGCAAAAGCGTTTCTTTTTGCAATAGAAAATAATGTTTGCTGTAAGTAAAACTTATTTGAATGCAAATACAATAAAATTTATAAAATAAAGCTATAACTTTTTTTATAATTTCGAAACTATAGAAAATATGTAATGTGATTACAAAAAAATTTAATAGAATCTGTTGTGATATAGCCCCTACCTGAGACACTGTTATAAGATATAAAAATTTTAAAACTGGCAATAGTAATTTCAACACAGAATATAAAATGTTCCTAGTTTTATTAAAATTATATGTGAATTTACATGAAAAATTAAAACTAATATGTATTAAAGTATATTTTCAGATTTATTAGCTTTATTTTTGCAAACAGTTGTTAGTCCTCACTCCGAAGCACTCACTAATCTGCATTTTTTAGATAGTGTCTTTCCTATGTTTATAATTAAATTAAGAATTAAACAAAAATTTATATTAATTTAAAAAAAATAATTAATTTAATTAATATTGCCATACAAAACAACAGAAAACGTCACTGTTTGTTATCAAAACAATGCATGTTTTATAAAAAAGAAGAAGACAATTGTAAATTTAATATGAAAATTAATGAAAACTTAAAATTAAAACCAAAAAAATTTATTTTGAAGACTCCATAATTTATACTAATCTTTTTTGCATCAGCTGTTTACACTTTTGCATTTCTTGCTCAAGTTGAAACCACCTCCTTTGGGCGCTTAAACTAGCAAACAAAATTAGTTAACTGAGTACTCAAAAACAACTTTCGAGGATTAATTTAATCCCTAATCGTTCACCTAAAGATTGGTTTTATTCATAACAATTTATCAAAGGTTTATAAGACAAATTTTCATACAAAATATATTGTATAAACCTTTGTTAACTTTTTATGAATAATGTTTAATTAAGTTAATTTGAGAAAATCACTCAATAAAGTATATACACAAGAGCGTTTTTTAAGACAAACTCTTTTGAAAAGTAATTGTATCTAAATACAATAAAATATTTTAAAATGTAAAAAACTCATGGTAAAAGTGTTCTAGTTTTATTTTAATAAAACCGCTTTTTAAATAATATTAACAAACATATTAATATACAATAATAATATAAATAAAATAACTCGTATAAATTTTAAATCTATTTGCATTCAAATAAGTTAACAAAATAGGATTTTCTCTTCTAAATGGATTAAATATATAGTTGTGTATGTTTTTAAAACCAGGAATTACTAAGGATTAGAACGTCGTTTATCTCCAATTACCATTAATTAGAAGTTTCATGATGGTGGTTTGGTGGTGTAGGTTGGTTGATTGGTCGGTAATCTGCTATAACAGAGCCGTGACTTAAAAAAAACAATCAATCCCCTTTTTTATATTGTCATTTGTTTTGTAACTGATAACACGTTTATAAGTAAATAGATTTACAATAAGACTTAAAACTAACCAATAAAGAAGAAGAATTTTAACATATAATTCGTTTTTTTGTAAAGGTGGTGAATACAATTGTAATTATTACGTACGATATTTATTTAATATGTATGTATATATTTATATGTATATATCAAATATTCAATCAATCAATTAAACAGTCAACGTTTATAAATATTAATTTATTTATTGCTTGTTTTTATTTAGTTGAAGTTTTTGTTTACAAATACAAAATTTGTATTTAAGGATATTTTAATAATATTTTTATTGGTTTTTTCTTTTTTTTTTATTAAAAAAAAAACAATGAAGACGGACATGTGGGGGGTTAGATGGGAAAATAACTTGGAAATGGAATTTATATACCATTAGGAGTATATAACAAAAATATAAGGGGTTATCTTTTAAAGTTGTTGTATAAACGATGAGATTTTGTTTTGTAATGTGAATAAAAATATATAATTTTTGCTTTTATATATTAAAAAAGAAAATGCATTTTGTATATAAATTAAGAGAAAAAATGAACGCTTACATATACAAAAAGTTATATAAAGTTTTAACTATGTATTTAAAGAAAACAAAGATCCTCCTCTCCTTTTATGATGGAAATACTTTTAATTGTTTCGCTTTTTAAAAATGTTTCATTAATTTAAAACAAATTTGTCCATTTGTTTCAATTCAAATCAATTCGACAAAATTGCACAACTACAACTACAGTAATATTATTATTTATATTAATTAAATAACAATTAGAATTAGTTACAAAAAAAAAAGAAAAACAAATACACACACTTACAATAAAAAGAAGACACAGAAATAGTTGTTATACAATATTGATTTATTAGGACCAACATTATGGACACATAAACGTAAAGTGTGATGAACGAACAAGTAACAGAAAACAAAAGAAAACAAGACATTGACGAAAACTTACCTCATATTGATTAAGTATTGTGCCAAGGCTACAGAATCTGGATTGCCACTGATGGTGATGGTGCGATCGGTGTTGCCACCTTCACGTTCTTCACAATTTGAAATGCGTATCATTGCACCAGAAATCTGACGTATTTCGGCAATTTTAGTACCACCTTTGCCAATAATGCAACCGATCAAATCGTTTGAAACAGTCATTTCATGCTGTTGCTGCTGAGCACGATTTGTATTTGCGGTACGCAACTGTGAACCAGCTAGAGCAGCCAAAGCTGCTTTTTTAAAAAAAGGAAAACAAAATTATTGAGTAATTAATTGGAAATTCAATATATTCTTAAATACCAACCTGTGGGATTAAGACCGCCAGTATTAGCCGGTGCCATACCGGCTAAACCTAATGCTGCCAAACTAGCCAACGGATTTTTAGCCACCTGTATAAATACAATATAAAGAGTAAAGAATTATTAAAACAAATTCAACTCAAAAATATCAATTTCAAAGTAATTTAAAACCAAAAACAAATCAAACGAAAATAAAATAATTAAAAAAAAGAACACAGAAATTACAACAATAAAAATAGATAATAAAAATGCAATTTCAATTTACAGCATGTACATTTCCAGTTTTACAAAAGTGGTTAAATTTAATTTCGTTATACAATTCATTAAATTATTAAAAATGACCCAGTTTTAGTTTTATATAAACTAAACCACTTTGTCTTTTCAAACATTTTAGCGAACCAATGTTAAAAGAAATTATTAAAAAACATTAAAAGAAGAAATTGTTAAAAAATAAAAAACAAAAACAAATGTTGTTTTAAAGACGTAGTACTAATTTTAATTGTGTGTGATTGTATTACTTATGTGTGTATTTTATGAAAAAAAGTGTAGAGAGTTGAGTTTGGCAATATGTATAAATGATAGTAGATTGGTTAAAGGAACAGGAAAAGTAGGAAATTTACAAACTGCGTTGGTGGTATGGAGCTGGGTTGACTTTCACAAGCTGGAAACTGCATTAATACATACTAGTAGTAGTAGTAGATCACAATTATGTACAAGTATGTGTAGAGAGGAAATCAATATGTCATCTAGAGAGATGAGACAAAAGTGGATAGAATGGAAGTGGAGAGACAGAAATTCGAGGGCCATTTGAAAGGATTTTCATTTGTACACCAATTACCTACAGCATCTTTTCATTTTATATGTTTTCTATTATTATTTTTTTTTTTTTTTTGCTTTTCATTTACATTATGTTTCTATGTGTGTATTTCTAGAGAATTGTGTATTTTTTCATAATTTTTAATCATTATTAATGAACATGCAAAATAATTGACTAAAACAAAGTAGCAGGCATTTCAAAATTGACAATAATTTTAGGTTAGAAAAATGCATTTTCAACATTAAAAAATAATTGATGTAAAAACTTTAAAAAGAACATAAATAAATAAAAATTACTATGAAAAGACCAAGAAAATCGTTAATAAAGTAATAATTGCAAATTGTTTTGAATTCTATCGAAAATGGATTATAGGTAGCAAGTCTGGATATATCTATGGTCAGCAGGAACTTGATTACAACAAATACTCGGACAGACGGATATAGCTAAATGGACTTCGTTAGTTATAAGGATTTAGAATATAACATTTATTTATTGCAGAAATTACATTATCGCTACTAGTTGCTATAATGGTTGGTCCATTTTTAGATAATTTGTCAGAGTGATCAATGTTTTATGGAAAGTTGTTTATGAGTACTCAATTAGTTAATTTTGTTTGCAAGTTTAAGCGCCCAATGGAGATGGTTTAAACTTAAGCATGAAATGCAAAAGTGTAAACAGCTGATGCAAAAAATTGATGCAATTTTTATAAATATAAACATTAAAATGTTCTATTTATTTATTAGTATAAATCATGGAGACTTCAAAATACATTTTTTTGTTTTAAATTTATGTTTTCATTAATTTTCATATTAAATTTACAATTGTCTTCTTCTTTTTTATAAAATATGCACTGTTTTGATAACAAACAATGACGTTTACTGTTGTTTTGTATGGCAACACTGAGAAGTTTAATCTTGTACTCAAAAACATCAAAAGGGATTACCATCAGATTAATTTTTTAGATTAACTAATTTGATTATTAATTGGCATTTGATTGCCAACACAAAACCCCGCCCTTTCTGGATGAGTTTTAAAATGATAACATTGGTATCTAAAAAAGATTTTTCATTTAAAATAAATCAGGTTTGTGTCTGCTATTTGGGGAATTTCACTAAAATGCGATTTAATTTTTATGATTTCTGATCACTTAAAAACTGAATGAAAATTTAGAAAGTGATTATAATGAAATAAAAAGTTTATTATTTTTAACGATTTTCTTTTAGTCTTTACAAGTTTTTCCAAATTATTAATAAATCAATTAAAAAGAAAATAAAATATTACAAATTCGTGACATGGCTACCATTGTACTAATGTGTTACAATTATTTCTTGCAACATTTTAAACGCAGGACCTTAAAGTATTTAGCTAAGGGTAGTAGTAGGAAGGGGGGATACACAACACTAAAACCAAACTATTTTTTTTGTTTACTTTTTACACACACAATGGGAAAGACTCTTTAGTTTTTTTTTTTTTTTACTTTAGTCGTTAAATGTGGAAAGGAAACACAAAAATAAAATTGCATTTCATATAAATTAATAAATATTCCTGTTTTTATGTGGTATTCATAAAAATAATCAAGCATTTGAAATTACCGAACAATAAAGTAGGGGTTTGTGAGTGGGGCTAATAAAGGGGGGTGGTGGTGGTGGTACTTTTTTTATTACAGGGGTAGAAAAACAAAAATTAATGCAATGCTTTCAAACAATTTCGTTCAACCAAAACTCACATCGGGCAATTGCTGTAGGTGATGGTGTGCTGGTACTGCTCCTGGTAAATGTGCGCCCTTTAATAAAGGATCCGTTAAACCCGATATACCAGCATGTAGACCACCGGTAGCCAAAGCAAGTGGAAATACTGGACAGGTCTAAAGAGGTGTATAGTTGTATATAGATTGATTTTTTTTTTTAATTGCAAGTGTAATAAATAGAAGTGTCGTTATCGTTAAACAAATTGAACAAAAAAAAAAATAAGAAATAATGAAGTATAGTAGAGTAGAGTTCAGTAGAATAGATTTTAATTTAAAGTTGTAAAGTAAAGATGTGTTAAATTTTTGATTTGTTTTGTTGTTGTTGATGTAGAATTGATTTTTTTTATATATTGTGTTTCGTACACAGTTTTTAGGTGAGTTTGTTACAAAAAAAAGAAAAATTATATAAATCAATTAAAAAAAAGTTTAGATAAAAGATATTTACAACAATTTATTATTTATGTAGGTATTGCAACAAAAATATAAAATTATATATTTTATAAACCACAAATAAAATAATTAATGTTAAATACCAAATTTTTATATGATCAATTATTTATAATGGATTTAATATGGATGCTAGTTTATTTTACTTTTCTATATTTCATATTAATTTATTTATATGCATTTCTTCGAAAAGTATTAGACAATTATACAATTGTTTCAAATGCTCTAATTAAAAATATTTCATTGAATTTTCAAAGAATAACATCCATTTTTAAGTTTGGTAAAATGTTCGTTCTTTTGGATGACAAAAACTGTACTATATGGGCTATGACCTTTATAATTTAATATAGACGATTATTTCCATTTATTGGAAGTTAGATCTCACATTTAAAATAACTTCTTGGAAGGTATTGAACATCAGTTCTCTAAAAGCTAAAAGCTACTAGTTCTAAAACGACTGCAACCAAAACTATTTAAGATTCTAGAACAGCAACCTTGGAACTAGTAACGCCATTAATTGATGGAGACTTTCTGTGGAATTCTGTTGTAATTCCAAAGTATTTCCAAAGAGTTTCCAAGAATTAGTTCTTTGGAACTAGCTATACACTGGTTCTGGACTAGTTCAATGGAAACAGATAAAAGTTTCAGAATTGTTCTTAAGAAGGTGTGTATGTTTTCTAATGCTTTTCTAAATCAAGTGAATGAAACGTTTTACTCCAAAACGTTTCCATAGAATCATTTCCGAAGGTGACAATTTTGAACAAAAGCCATTGATCTCAACACCAAAATAGAACGTGTAATGATATAATCGTGCTTTTAAGAATAAGTTGTGGAAATAATACAAATTATCCTGGAACTAAATATTGAATGTCTAATGCAATCGAAGAGAAAAATTATAAAAAATTAAGAAATATTTGTGGATGTATTAAATTTTAAAACGATAAAACTAAATAGCAATATATGTATATAGGAAACTTATATATTACAATGCCTTGCCTGAGAATAGGTTAATTTTGTTTTATTTTGTTGAACAGTTTAGATCTTGTATTCTTAAACGATTAACACGTTGACGTATATGATGTCTATAGACGTCAAGCATGGAGGTTCATAGATTCAAATGACGTCTTTAGTCGTCATATAGTGTTATATTTTAGATATTGATTTATCTATTAATCGGAGTATATCATCAATACTTTGGATTAGAGTTTATATTTATGCAGTATTCGTGGAATTTAACGAAGTATTCGAATTTATCAAAAATTAAGTGTTTTTATCATCTTTTGAGTGAGCGTCAACGTGTTAATAAAGTTATGAATGGTATATTAGAGAAACTTTCTATGAAAAATATGCGTAATAAACCATGCATAAGCTATTGCTAACTTTATGATTACGGAGGGAAAAATTTATTTATTCCCAATACTTGTGAAAATAATCTCCTAAAAGGATTATGGACACATTTGCCAAATTAAGGAAACATAAAGCTAAAATAAATAAATTAATTATTGTATTTATTAAACCAAAGTAATATGTATTAAAGAAAATTGAACAATTTCAATTATATGATATGTACAGCATCCACCATTTTAGCGTATTTTTTAGGTCGTTCGACACTCTAATTTTAAAATACTGGTTCACTATTTTAAAATTAGGAGTAATTATAAAGGATTTGATTTACATTAAATCTAATTTTATGATAAACTTTAACGACCGTAATTGAGAAGGCTCTAGGCTTCAACCATGTGCTCATTTATTGACATTCAAGGACTCTTTGATAATACGCCTAGTACCGGCATATATTAAAAACTGAACGCTGGGAATGCTAACATTCACAGTCAATCGGTTTGACCTATTTGGTATATCGAGAATCAACTGGGCCACCAGATTCTGTCCTCAAGGAACTTATGATTACGTTTATGATCTGATTATATTTGTAATTGGATCTAATGACAAAACCATATCGAAAGGAAGCAGTATGCAATTGATCTAACTTTTAAATGATGTAAGGAAAGATTGAGGAACTGGCTGATCAAGTATGGCCCAAATTTTCAAAAGGCCATTCATATGTGTAATTACCGCTCAATCTTCCAGGCAGACGTATATGCAATTATTATTTGCATTAGAGAATGTCTGAGGAGAAAACTGGGAGGATTACAAATATTTGTGATGTCGGATAGTCCAGCAGCCCTTAAGGCTTTATTGTCATATGAAATCAGCTCGGGTGTTTGACATCTCTAAATGAACTGGGTAGACATAATAAACTTACACTATGTAGGGTACCTGACCATGAAGGACACTCTGGCAATGAAGGAGCAGATTGTCTGGCAAACAGGCGCACATTTATTGGACCAGAACCATTCTTTAGTAACCCAAAGCATACATTGGGGAAAAATGCGATTCATATGTTCCATCTGAATTTCTAAGCCCCTGGGAGTCAATATCAGGACTCAGACAGGCAAAAGGCTAATAAAAGGTAAATCCCAAAAGTTACTGTCACTTAACAAGAGTGACCTAAGATTACTAAAGGTACTTTATAACGGACACTGTGGACCAGCACATTCTTGATAACAATGTCACGAGGTTATGCAGATTCTGTGAAATGCATGATGAAAAACTCTAAACATGTTCTTTGTGACTGTCAGCCACTATGGACTCTCAGAGTGAGTATTCTGGGAGGCGAATTTCTTTCGCCTAATGAAATATTCAATCTCTCACCGTCAAGAACATTAGGAGAACTTAATCTCCAATGGTGAATCAAAAGGGCTGCACAAAAGATCTTAACTTGGGTCGTTAATCAATCAATCAATCTTATTTTAAACCTAAAATGCTTTGTTTTAAAATATCAAAACTATTTAATTTTCAAAAAGTACACTTTCTCGGGACAAACCGCTACTTTAGTAAAAAGTCTGTATAAAGATGGACTAATTCTAATTACTGATTTAGATCAAACAGATGAAATTGTTATTTATTAATTTCCATCTTGCTCACTTTCATTACTTTGTATTGATTTGAAAGACGTAATTTTTAATTGTTACGAGGACGAAATGGTTGTGGTTTAGAGATATTTTACATCGGCAGTTTTACGCGATTAATAGCAGCATCCTATATTACAAATATTGATATAAAATAGACAAACAAATGTATCCGAACTTCGCTTAGATTTTCCTTCTATAACTATTAATCGGTTATAAAAAGTCTAAAAAAAGGATCAAGTATTAAAAATCACAGCTGCAATACTTTTCCAAGATTTGCAATAGTATTTTTCTTACTATTAATGAACGAATTCATAGCGTTTGGTAAATGCTTTTCTGCGACTAAAGGAATTGTAGACATTAGTAAACAACTTGCATATTGTTTCATAAAATATTCACAACTAAGCCTATTCATCAATTACATTACCACTCAATTGGGACTTTGTGTTTTTAGTATTAATATGTTAAACTGCAATAATTTAATTCTTTGAAATTATTGATTCGATAGACATTTATTGCGATAACAAAGGTGGAGGATATACAAACATATATACATAATAAGTACATACTTAAAACTTTTCCTATAAATGTAATAAGTTTAGTTTTAATGATTGTTGTAGGACGTAAGTAAAGTTTTATTCTTAACTTGGCGAGATGATAAAACGATATGAGTTTTGGAGTTAAATAAATATTAATTTAATTATACTTTATTTTGCTTTATTTTAAGGGAACAAAAGAAACAAAAGAGAGAAAGAGATAGATAGAGAGAGAGAGCAAGAGATATGTGAGGGCTCGGGCAGGGAAATTTGAGTTGATTTGATTTTAAATTATTAATTAATATGTATAAAATTCACATTGAATTAAGTTTTGTAGTATTCCTTATTGGATGGTGGTATTATGGTGGTATGGTAAAGTAAAGTAAGTATGCTGCGGTCTGGTATTGTTTGTTATGCTAAGTAAACGATCTAATTAGAAACCACAAATTAAATTAATACAATTGAAATAAAATAAAAAACTATAATTAATCTTGTAGTAGATAGATACATTACAGTATTATTGGCTATTACACAAAAGTGACCATTAACTTTTATTTGGGGGACATTTAATTATGTGTGTGTGAGTGGGTGTTTGTTTGTTTGTTTTAATTCTTTTTGTTTATTAATTTTGATTTTTATTGATTTATTATGACATTGAAACAATACTTTTTTTTTAACACCATATTCTATAAGAAATGTTAAATAAGAGGAATTGGTTGTTGTTTTCATAGGGGGAGTTTTTCTTGTTGAAATCTTAAAAGGACGTATAATATCGAGAGAGAGATATATAGAGGATAATATAAATATATTCGTATGTTTCCATATATATATAATTGTGATTTTTAACAACAATACTGAATGGTTGGTTCGGTTTGGTTTGGTAGTGGCGTTTTGGTGGTAGAGTGAATACAGATTATTTTTGTTTATTTGTTTGTTTTATAATTTAAACTAAGTAATTTTTAATTACAAGAAATTTTGCAAGTGTAAAATGATGATAGACCTACTTTTATCAACTGCTCACGAGCCCTCTCATCCTAGCGTAAAAATGTTGCCCATTTTTTACTTAATTCCTACGAGTATTTTAAGCTCACAGTATATGAAGCTGTCAGTGGAAGTAGCAGTAGTAGTAGAGTAGTAGTTGAGTGGTAGTAGTAGAGTAGTTAAAGCCTTAAGATTGTGTGTTTCTTTTTTACTTTTTATTTTTTCTTAATACATATTTTCATTTAATCAATCAAGCCTTTTATGCTCTCAGCCGATCAAAGGAACTCTTTACAGTGTAGAGTTTATAACACATAGAGAGTAGAGTAGTGGAGACCTTCGTATGTCTTCAAATATTTTGTTACACGTTATTATCAAAAATGTTTTAGTTCATTTTATTTAAAATTTCTTTCAATATTATTCTTTTTCTTTTTTTTATTATTGAAAACTTAACCTAAGAGAAAAAGTGCAAAATACATATTAAAAAATATATAAGAATTTAACTAAAACAAAAAATATAATTGTAATCAGTACATCAACAATAACAAAAACAACAAAACTGTTATGTTGAGGAAGAGAACGGTTGGTTGGTTGGTAGAGGAGGTAAAAACTATAATAAATACTATTATTGAAGTATTTCTAACTATAACCAAACTAGAAATTTTAAGTGAATGCTTTTCTTGGTGGGTATTAAAGGATATTGGTTGGTTGATATGGTTTGGTTTATAGAAGAGGGTGGGTCATCGCTAGGTTTCCCTACGATTGTAAAATTAAATACACATATGACCAATTAACACAAACATTTTTAAGAGAAATAAAAGATTTCTTTTCTAAATGTATAAATTTAATTATCATTATTTTAAAATATTTTCGCTTAAAAACTTTATGATAATTGGCAAAGCTAAGTATGTGTAGCATTAAAACAAAATATTTAAAGAATTTTTCTGGTTAAATTTAAAATACACAAACAAAAATGTTTTAGTATAATACGATAAGGATAATGAGATGGAGGTGGTAGTGGCGGTGGTAGTGGGCAGTTTATTAAATATATAGTGATATGAAAAAGCATTCATACATAATAAAGAGGAAAAGAGAAAATAATAAAATGTGGTTTATATACGCAACACAAACATTAATCGAGAGATGTATGTAGAGAAAGAGAAGTAGAATAAATGTATACGGCATCTTATATAAAAATAAGCCAAAGTTGTAGAAGTAGTAGTAGTAGTAGAGTAGTAGTATAAAGTAGTAAAAAATTGACTTTACTGACTGACTGGAAAAGAGGTTACAAAAAAAGGAAAAATGTTCATGCTAAATTACCTCTTGTGCGGGTACAGCATAATTGCCCTGTATGGTGAATGCTTGTCCATTAGCCAAGATGACAGGTCCTGACACTTGGGGTTTTGGCCTATAAGGGATGGTAGCACCCCTAGGAGGCGACTATAAACAAATACAAAGAGAGAATTAAATGGCATTTTAATGTTGTTTAAAAAGTGATTAAAAGTAAATATTTTAAAAAGAAAGAAAAAAAAAAAAAAACGCAAAAGCTACATACCTCCAACATAACGAGACAAATTTGATAGATGCATTGAGTTATTTGTTCAGCAGTACCACTTAAGGTAACGGCACGTTCAGTTGAATTTGGTAACATTTCACTAGCCACCTGAATAGAGCAGCCTGTTGTCTGACGTATTTCCTTAATTTTTGAACCACTTTTGCCTTGAAGTAAAATTTTTAATGAAAAACGACATTTATGTAGGTATTTAATAACTGTCTCTCAACAACAATATAATTAAAAGATAAAATAATATAGTAGTCGATGTTGCCTTATGGACAACTTACCAATTAACGATCCACATTGACTGGCAGGCACAATCAAGCGTATGGGTATTTGTGTTTTACCACCTTTACCAACATCATTATTAAATTGAGAGCACCACTTGAGAGGAAAAGTAAATAGAAGATTAATATTATCATATAACGTATAGTGGTTCTAGTTATAATGCAAACCTCTTCAAATTTCTTGGTGATTAAGGTAAATGCCGAATAGATTGCACTGGTTGTACCAGACACCGTTACAATACGCTCCGGACAAGAACCATCAGATATATTGATTTTTGCCCCCGACTATAATAAAAAAAATTAAATATTTTATTGTGAATATAAATACAATCACTTATTTTAAAAATGTTTACTAAAGTCAGCACTGATTTAAACCATTGTTAACTTTAGTTTTTAGCGATTATAATAATACAAACCTCTTCGCGAAACCTATTAACAATTTCTCCTTTTTTGCCGATAATACTGCCAACTTCCTGAAATTTAAAATAATAAAAAAATATGTTAGAATGAGTTTGAAGAAGTAATAAAAATGTGTAATATTAAAGTTTAGATTACACTAAAAATTAGTGTGGTTCAAGTATATATTTAGTTATTTTTAACAGAGTTGCTGTTAATAAATTACTTCAAACTGTTTAAGGTATTCTTATCTAAGATGTAAATCAGTTCTCCTTGTTAAAATCTATCTATTTAAAAATGTCCTTCTATAGTCATCGGTGCAATATTTTATATCAAAATTTCTATTTCTAATGTATCAGAAACATTAGAAAGACGTTTAATTTTGATGTCGCAGAACCAAATGTTATTAGTTTTATGCTTGAATTGGAATTATTGTGAGAATTTCGTGTTACAGAATGAGTTTTTATCTTTTTTGTCTGAAATATAATTGGACCAACATTCAGAGTATGACTTCTACTCATGTAGTGCATTGTGTTGGAATTTGGAAAATAGATTATGATGGGGAAGGTAGAAGGAGCAGTGATGTGGTCAATCGATTCAAATAAGTAGTTTAGATTAAAAGGGTTGTATACCTAAGAGGTATACATCCACTCTGAGATAAAATAAACAGAATGAAGATAGAGAGATAAGTGTGAAATTAATGAATTCCTATCCTAATAGATATGTTAATAGTATTGGAAGAGAATTCTACGAGGTCCGACACCTAAATAGCCAATCGACTCCCCTGACAAAACCTGGAATGTTTCTTATACTACTCGCCATTTCCGCCTCAGACTCTGTGCACCAGGACACTCGCACAAAATATGTTCTACTGTCTCTAGATCCTCTTCGTCCTCACACAAACTACAAAACTCCTGTGTGTTAAAAACCCAAATACACAAAAAGGCTACTATTGCGCAGTTACCGGTTATCACTCCTACAAGAATTCTAATATTTCTCCCGTCCAATCCTGATAGTATACTGCTTGCCTTGGCATTAAACCTCGGCCATAAGACCTTGAATACTCTGCAATACATCCTACTGTGCCAGGATTGTTTAGAGGAGTTTCTGAATTTATCGGAGATTAACCTGTAGTAGAGGCAGATAGGCGGTTTCACCGACCTAACTCCACTATTAGTGTCCAGATCTGACCCTTATCTGACCAGTTCATCTGCGATTTCATGAACCTTAATATTATAGTAGCCTGAAATGAACTACATGACATTTTAAGGCCTTAAGTGCTGCCTGACTATCAACATAAACTGCCACCTCCGGCCCTCTTCTAATGTGTGTCTTTCAAAGAAGTAACAAGAAAGACCTTGGCAGGATGTTTTTTTCAGATACGGACAGTAAATAATAAATTTTCCTTGCAATACATCATGCGATCCACTGGCGAATCCAAAAGCGCGAGTTCATAATGAAAAACCTATAAATAAAGTATCGGAAAGAAATTTCCTAATTTTATAACACAATATGAGGTCGAGTAGTAGTGAATTTGAACAAAATTTGAAAAAAAAGACGATGCCTTGACGCTATTTCTAATCAGAATCATTCTTCAACAACCTTGAATATTTAGAATTTTGTAATAAACATATCACAAAACATAGACATGGAATTATTTTGTACAAAGTGTAAATTCTCTGCCAAACTATTTTATCACTCCAAATATGGAGACAAATGGAAAAAATGAAGTCATTAAATAATGCAACCTGAAAATTGATTTTTTTTCCGAAAGCATGTAAATAATTAAAATGTTCATTCTCAGCATTCAACCATTAACAGCAATCACTTGCAGAGTTTTCATCTTTTGGCTGTTTGTGCTTTCTTAACTTCGTGGGAACAATAATCACTGTTCGAGTGTTATGAAAAAATGTAACCTTTTAATAAGTTGCACGATGAAGAAAGAACAATTTTGCTTTTGCATCTGACAATGACACATGGTGATACATTTTTTTTTCATCTTTTTATATTTTTTCCTTCATCATATATATTTTTTTTGTGAATGTGTGCGTTCGATATTGTAGACAACGACACATGTGTTGTTAATCTGTTGTTGCAACAATTGCATTGCAAATAAATCATTTAATATTTCTTTCTCTAGTACGAATTGCATGTCATGATGCATTCGTTTGTATCAGTAGAATCTGTATCCGTCTGTTAGTCCATTATTTTTGCTGTTGTAAAAGTGCAACAAAAAAAAAAAAAAAACAAAAAGAATATTCATACGAACAAAAAACAAGATGAAGAAGCGACAAAAAGAATTAATGCAATTTAACTGAAAAAAATATCATGTGCATATGAAAAAATACAACAAATAAGAATATTGCACGACAATGTAAATTGAATTTCAACTGATTAACAACAAGTGCAGCTTTAAAGTAGTACCCTGCAGTTTGTAGAGGCTAACCAGAACCAACCTATCTATTAGGATTACCTGTTGTTATAAATTTAGCTATTTATGAAATATCCATGTTCAAGGAGGACATCAAATGATAGTTATTGTATGTCGCTAAAACTACAATCTAACAATCGACTCTTAAATAGATTACTTTGGGTGGAGGTGATATATAATTTTAAGATATAGTGCAGGTTTATAGGTTAATATTATTTATGGTTTATAAAGTGCTATTACGCGTTAAATTCGGTTAAACCAAAATTTAGGCAGTAGAGAAAATAGGCTACCTTTACTCTTTGTATAACTGTTGGGTTATTTATGTCTGACCAAATACGCATGTATTTGTGTCCAACTTGCATATTAGACCTGTTCTTAAAAAATAATAAGCTTGCAAAAGTTTTAGATTCGGTTTTAAAAAATACTTTTATTTAAGTTTCAAATTAAACTATCGATCTATTACTCTCATGGATACTCAAATGTCCAATTCAAAACGATTTTTTAGGGATAGATCTATTGCGCAAACAAAAAGAAAGCATATATTCGCCCCAAGCAGAGTGGATAGAAGTCGGTCTCACTTCATTGTAGGTTTGACAATGAAGGGTGCGAAAAAGGTTGTTATTGTTTTTTTAAGCAAAAAGTCGTCATCAGTTTTTTTAATACCCTCTGGCATATAAAAATTTACAAATATTTTCATATGTACATATGTGTTTCATCTTGAGACTTAATACAATTATGAATTTCTATTTGGATTTGTATTTTTTTCTGTTTCTTTTACAATTTCATTTTTCTTTGCTTCGCAAAAATCTCAAAACTATACAAGACTTAATAATGTGTAAAATTTTGGAAAATATTTACATTTTACAAAAACAATTTAGAATACGGGTTTATTACATCTATACTGAGAATTCATTCCACTTTTACTAGCCAATTATAGGGATTTTTTTGTCGCAATTACTTGACCTTCACAGATTATGGGTTAACATTATTCGATTTTACTAAAAATTTAAATGTATGTTTCCAATTATCTGGAATTTTATATTCCAAAAAGGTTTTATAAAATACATAACAGTAAGAAATTAAGCCAAATTTTCATTTCCGAAATCCTCAAAATTCAAATTGCAGGTACCAAATCCCGGTACCCAACACAGTCTAATGGCAAACAGTCTCATCAACATAAATTGTCACAACTGACCCCGGATCGATATGATTCCGTATCACTTCAGTCGCTTTCAAGATCGCTAGGATCTCTGCTTGGAAGACACTACATTCGTCAGAGAGTCTGAAGGAACGGTTTATGTTGATATCAGCGATATGGATCTTGGACCCATCAGCGAAAACTGCACACCCATCAAACAGTCTATCGGATACAAGCCAATCATCCCTAGTTGGAAATTCTATCAGAGATGTTACGCCGAAGTCTAGAGCCGTAATATCATAATCTGTAATTCCCCAAGGGGAATTACCCTGATAAATTTTTGTATGGTCGTCACGCGAAGGTTCGACCAACGAAGACTCATATAGTCTTAACAGATTTCTAGCCGCCACGCCCGCTACAAAATGTTCTATTGGTGCTTCTAATGGCACCAGTAATGCCAATAGAGGTACATCTTTGAACTTTATTGATAATTTTTCTATAACTGTCATTTCTCAAAGCCTCCCACTAGACAATGCAACCGTTGTGTAAATCCAATTTACCATATCTGGTTGCAGACCCCAATTCATCCCTATATAAATCTTGCATGTGTAGTAGGCATTGAGTCCCTTTTAATTTTTTCCTTCCATGACAGCTTGCTATGAAGGAAAGTCTTTAATACTTAGCTCCTCTAGATAAACTTAGTTCGACGCCATCCAAGTTTAGCAGCCTAAAGTTGTCTACCTTCTGGTAAATACCAGTTCCGTTTTTCTAGGATTTACGCCCAGTTCCTTATCCTTCGCCCACAACGAGAGTTCAACTAGTGCAACCTTTCTCCTAATGGAATGATCCCCTAGGTTCGAGTTAGTCTCCTGCCAAGCATGAGGACTATCCACTTCACCAGGAAGTCCTGAACGCCGAACTCTATAAGCAAATCTCTAATCGCCTCAATCTTTATGTTATTGAAGGCTCCCTCTATATACAAAAACGCGGCAAGAGTACTCACATTTAAGTTAATACGAATATGTTTAATATAATAACATAGTTTTATTAGAATATTTCCCAACAAGAGTTACATTTTTTGAAATATTTCTCATTTAAGTGTTTTGTGACAGTAAATGACCCGAGGAATGTGTAGTAACTTTTGCAATTGTTGTGTTTTATATCTTATTGGAATGATAATTGTATAAAAATCCAAAATTTTTTGCAATAACTATTTTCCGCTTCAGAGCCATGGGGCCACCAGATAACGTATAATTATATATTAAATCTAGAGGCAGAGGCCGTCAATTTTTGTAACTTCTGTAGAATTAAAGAACTGAATATTTGAGGTATGCAATGTATTTAAGTATACAGTCATGCACTCCATGACATGGAGACGTAAATATCAAAATGTGGAAAATTTGTGGGTGATACAACTTTTTTATTGTTATTTTGGGGGATCAATACTCCAAAAAAATTCTAGGATTAGTAAAAATTATCTAAAAATCTTTTCATCTTCATTCTCATAA